GGTCTGTTTGAGATTCATGTTTGAGATATTTAAAAATAAAAATGTATTTATTTATTTATGCTTTGGCCACAAATACGATTATAGGATAAGTCAACAAAATTATTTGGGTATGAGTTAACAGAATAACAGAGATTTCCACTGGACAGTTACTTTAACCTCTTAAGGATCTGACCTTTTTTTTCAATGTTCGACAAAATTGACATACCCAAATCTAATTGCCTGTAGCTCAGGACCTGAAGCAAGGATATGCATATTCTTGATACCATTTGAAAGGAAACACTTTGAAGTTTGTGGAAATGTGAAATTCATGTAGGAGAATATAACACATTAGATCTGGTAAAAGATAATACAAACAAAAAAACATGTGTTTTCTATAATTTTTTTGAAATGCAAGAGAAAGGCCACAATATAATATTGCAGTTTAGGCGCAATTTAGGCAGCAGTGTGTGCGCAAAGTTTCAGATTGATCCAGTGAAGCATTGCAATACTGGACTATTTTGTATCAAGTCTGCCCAAATGTGCTGAATTGGTCAATTGATACATTTTCAAGTACATGACTATAGAGAACATATAAAAATGATATGGTAATACAAAATGTACATTTACACACTCCCAGGAATGTCATACATGATGGCTCATTAGCTTATACACTAACTTTCACACATCTAGATGGCCGGGTGGGGTGGGTGTGGAGCCAGAGACAGCAGGGGTTCAAACTGTAGAACCCAGTTCCTACATTTGAATTTAAAATTGATTTTATCAAACAAAACTATGCTGGATGTTATCTCTGGGACCCTTAGGATGACAAATCAGAGCAAGATTACTGAATGTAAGTACATTATTTACCTTCAGAGGTGAATGTATCAAACCAGTTGCCGTGATACGTTTTTTGTTGTTGTGCACTCTCCTCAAACAATAGCTCTGAATTTTTTCACTGTAATAGCTACTGTAAATTGGACAGTGTAGTTAGATGATTAGATAATTTAAGCTTTCTGCCCATATAATGTCTATGTCCTGGAAGGTTTGCTGTTACTTACAACAGTCATGATAATCACATTAGCGCACGTTAGCTCAACCATCCCATATACGGGACACCGATCCCATAGAGTTTAAAGAAGTACAAGTAGTAAACTATCCCACTTGAGTGGGAATTCTGTTGATAGGCAAGATGAATAAAACAATGGCAGATATTGAGGTTGAAGAGAAGGAGGAACGAGCAATCAGGGACTGTGTGGGATCCTCAGCGGAAGCACAGAGTGGTGGTTATTGACTCAAGTTGCTGTTTGTAGATTACATCTGAACAATCTCCATTTTCAGCTGTGATGTCGTTCTTCCAGATGACCTGGCACTTGGGGGTTCCCTAGGGGCTTCTGCTCGGGAAAGTGATGCAGGGGAAGAATTCAAGGCAACACATCTCTCAGACACTCTACCTCTGTTGCGTGGAGTATGATGAAATATTGAAGAGACACATGCACACATTGAGCTTTTACTGTGTGATGGTAGAGTGTTTGTTGTTCCTACAGTGCATTCGGAAAGTATTCAGACCGCTTGACTTTTTCCACATTTGGTTACGTTACAGCCTTATTCTAAAATTGATTAAATTGTTTTTTTCCCTCATCAATCTACACACAATACCCCATAATGACAAAGCAAAAACAGGTTTTTAGAAATGTTTGCAAATGTATTAAAAATAAATAAATGAAATATGACATTTACATAAGTATTCAGACCCTTTACTCAGTACTTTGTTGAAGCACCTTTGGCAGCAATTACAGCCTCAAGTCTTCTTGGGTTTGACGCTAGAATATCAGCACACCTGTATTTGGGTAGTTTCTCCCATTCTTCTCTGCAGATCCTCTCAAGCTCTGTCAGGTTGGATGGGGAGCGTCGCTGCACAGCTATTTTCAGGTCTCTCCAGAGATGTTTGATCGGGTTCAAGTCCGGGCTCTGGCTGGGCCTCTCAAGGACATTCAGAGACTTGACCCGAAGCCACTCCTGCGTTGTCTTGGCTGTGTGCTTAAGGTCATGGTTCTGTTGGAAGGTGAACCTTCGCCCCAGTCTGAGGTCCTGAGCGCTCTAGAGCAGGTTTTCATCAAGGATCTCTCTGTACTTTGCTTTTCATCTTTCCCTCGATCCTGACTAGCCTCCCAGTCCCTGCAGCTGAAAAACATCCCCACAGCATGTTGCTGCCACCACCATGCTTCACTGTAGGGATGGTGCCAGGTTTCTTCCAGACCTGATGCTTGGCATTCAGGCCAAAGAGTTCCATCTTGGTTTCATCAGACCAGAGAATCTTGTTTCTCATGGTCTGAGAGTCTTTTAGGTGCCTTTTGGAAAACTCCAAGCAGGCTGTCATGTGCCTTTTACTGAGGAGTGGCTTCTGTCTGGCCACTCTACCATAAAGGCCTAATTGTTGGAGTGCCGCTGAGATGGTTGTCCTTCTGGAAGGTTCTCCCATCTCCACAGAGGAACTCTGGAGCTCTGTTAGAGTGACCATCGGGTTCTTGGTCACCTCCCTGACCAAGGCTCTTCTCCCCCGATTGCTCAGTTTGGCTGGGTGGCCAGCTCTAGGAAGAGTCTTGGTGGTTCCAAATTTCTTCCATTTAAGAATAATGGAGGCCACTGTGTTCTTGGGGAACTTCAATGCTGCAGAAATGTTTTGGTACCCTTCCCCAGATCTGTGCCTCGACTCAATCCTGTCTTTGAGCTATACTAACAATTCCTTCGACCTAATGGCTTGGTTTTTGCTCTGACATGTACTGTCAACTGTGGGACCTTATATAGACAGGTGTGTGCCTTTCCAAATCATGTCCAATCAATTGAATTTACCACAGGTGGACTCCAATCAAGTTGTAGAAACATCTCAAGGATGATCAATGGAAACAGGATGCACCTGAGCTCAATTTGAATACTTATGTAAATAAGGTATTTCTGTAAAAAATATATATATCTAAAAACCTGTTTTCGCATTGTCATTATGGGGTATTTTGTGTAGATTGATGAGGAAACATTTTTATTTAATAAATTTTAGAATAAGGCTGTAACGTAACAAAATGTGGAAAAGGGGAAGGGGTCTGAATACTTTCCGAATGCACTGTATTTGCTCTCCCATACCCTTTTGACACTATTGCGTCGACCTGTGTGCGGGTACAGAGGTGAGCTGAACTGGAGCAATATTATATTTGGTTTTAAGTGAGCCAAGATGCTAGCCATGCCCCGTCCAAACCAGACCTAGAGCAGTGCCCTGAGACGCTCTGCATACCTCCAGTTAGTCAGCAATGTACTTTTACATTTACATTGGAGAGGGTCTCTGCACCACATGGTCTCACTACTGGTGTCACCCAGGTCTCGGTACTAGGTCCTCTCTTGTTCTCCACTGCTGCGGATGCCATGGAGACTATTGTCTCCAGAATGGAAAATTGCATTAGCAGTTTCCACATTTTTTTCCTTCCCTTGAGCAGTCTCTAATTAGATTCTGAGGGCCTAATGAGAATAATGTAATCAGCATGCTCCCTCCACTGCTTGCTAACCAGGCCTCCAGGTGTTGCTGGATTTAGGAAGCTGTCTCACAACGCAGTAGTAGAGGTAGTCATTTGGTCACATACTGTGCAGTCTGCCATTTTGGAGAGTGACTGAGCATGTGTGTCTATTTTCATGGATGAATTGATTGAATAGATTTTGACATTTGAAATGCCTGAGTGGAAATTACGTGTGGTGGGTTGTTCACTTCACACCTTTGTGTTTTATTCACACTCTGTATCGAGGAATCTCCTCCACACTTTCCTCTGGAGTGTCTTATTAAAACTGTATGATTAGCTTAGCATAACTGTCCACTGTATCAGGCTCCACTGTTTATAATGAAGGCTGTGCTACTCCTGCTAAACCATACCCCACATGACTAAAGATACAGTGTATGAACTCTACCTCAGTAGTACTTACTACCACTGTGTGACTCTGTGCCTCCCAAATGGCACCCTTTTCCCCATATTGTGCACTACTTTTGACGGGGGCCCAATAGGCAACAGAGTGCCATTTGGGACGTTGCCTCTGTCACTTATCTTAGACAAATAGGGAACAGAGATGGTGAACTCTGACTTTGTGCCTCTCAGATTGGCTTTAAAGAGAAGTGAGATTCAATGCACTATAAGTAGGCTATACCATAAAACATTTCTTAAATAATATCTTAGTAACAATGTCACAATATACCATAAGTGCATGCAAATAAGGAAACTGTATACGAGCATTGGAAATAAAACCTTCAAAAGTAAGCATTGTAACAACCACTGTTTTCTGTCTTTGCAGATTGAAGGCACTAGTATCAACAGGAGACAGGAGTGTACAGGCAGCATGTGACTGGTGAGTTCTAACATACACATGCACAAGTATACAAACACACACTCCCTGAGATAACCCATGTATGAAAATGTATGCACTCACTAACTGTAAGTCGCTCTGGATAAGAGCGTCTGCTAAATGATGTAAATGTAAATATAAAATGAACTGTGATAATGTTATGGTAAGAGTTATGCTGCCCTCTGCTGTACTGCCTATGTGTGTACTCTTACTATTTAGCCAGGTGTGAATGAATACAATTCTTTAAAGACCTAGTCCACTCAATAACTAGATTTTCCAGTGTTTTATGTATATTTCCACAATATGAGGTTGGAATAATACTGTGAAATTATGAAAATTATGCCCTTTTAGTGTAAGAGCTATGTGATGGACTTTTGGCGTTTTGGATGGAGTTTTGGCCTTCCTGGTGACATCACCAGGTGGTAAATTAGTTAATAGACCAATAGAAAGAGAGTTTTAAACCTCTTTGCCAATAACAGCTAGTTTTTCAGTTTCCCCTCCCCTTGAGAAATGGCTCTTTGCTAAGAAGCTATTTTTTGTTTATTTTTGACCATTTTAATTGTAAGGTACTTAATTGTTACTCATCTTCTACCTCAGTCATTGATAAGCCGCCTCCTCCTCTTCTTCTTCTCCTGCTCTTCCTCAGGCTGTTCTCCCATGTGGATGACCCCTTCCTGGATGACCCATTGCCCAGAGAGTATGTCCTGTACCTGCGCCCCAGCGGACCCCTGCAGAATCAGCTCCATCACTTCTGGCAGCAGTCCCGTGTCACCTGTGGCAAGAACAAGGCCCACAACATCTTCCCCCACATCACGCTCTGCCAGTTCTTCATGGTGAGCCCAGGGGGAAATTACACGCCTCAAGCTCATACATCAACACATGAATGCTCCTCCCTCTAATTCAGCTCACCATTAAGTATTATAATTATGTTACTTAACATTGACGTATGACACATTGTTTTAACATTTTAATTGAACCTACACTCTTAGAAAAAAAGGTGCTATCTAGAACCTAAAGGTGTTCTTTGGTTGTCCCGATAGGAGAACCCTTTGAAAAACCCTTTTTGGTTCCAGGTAGAACCCTTTTGAGTTCCATGTAGAACCCTTTACACAGAGGGTTCTACATGGAACCCAAAATAGTTCTACCTGTAACCAAAAAGGGTTCTCCTATGGGGACTGCCGAAGAACCCTTTTGGAACCCTTTTTTCTTAGTGTGTATTTATCCAGGAAGTCCCATTGAGGTCAAGAGACTGTAACATCTGTCTAGTAAGGGCCAGTTTCCCAGACACAGATTAAGCCTAGTCCTGGACTAAAATGTGCTTTTAATGGCGATTCACCATTCAGCAGACTTCTAAGTCCCTTACTAGGACTAATCTGTGTAAGTCTCAGTGTTTGTGTGGTACTCAGACTCTACCCTGTCCCCCAGTGTGCAGACAACAAGGTGGACGCCCTGTTGGAGGCCCTGCAGGCCACAGTGGGCCAATGGAGGGGTCGTTTCCCTAGCCCCCTACCCCTGGAGCTCTACACCTCTTTTAACTTCATAGGCCTCTTCGTTGAGGAGCAGATCGCAGAGGTCCTCAAGCAGTTTGCTGCTGACTTTGCTTCCGAGGCTGCCAGGAAAGCAGGTAGGGACTCTCTCTGCCTGTGACACATGGACACACACCCACGCAGGCAAGCACACCAGTCGCACGCACACACACAAGCATGCACACATTGTATTTTTTAAATTGCCTTTCTATCTCTCCACACGATTTGGTCAGAAAATGACATATTTTAGGCTGGTAAGGGATTACTGTAATCAGTGCCGGCGTTATTGGTGGGCCCTAGGGGGCCTGGCCCACCCTACCGTACCTCTTAGCCCGTCCCCCAAAAATATTGAAATATTGATCATTTATTTGACTGAGATGCGCAAAGACAGAAAGATGCATCAATCTTAGATGAAGCATCAGAGTGAGTGAAACAGCGCCCCTCTGTCTCCGTATATGTAGACCATGTATCTGATGCTGTCTGGACAAAAGGAGTACGGCATGTCATAATCTTTCTGGCCAGACAGCATTATATACATGGGCTACATATAGTAAGACAGAGGGGCGCTGTTTCGCTCGCTAGTTTCAGCAGAGGAAGCGGCGAAAATCTGTCCTGAATAAACCCATGGCGTTTCTATGGGTATAATATGTAGACCTAAACTTGTCGCCTGTTTTCCCGCCTTTGGGACAACGACTCGCATTGTTAGGGCGGAAACATTGGCATCTCGTCATTATATATCTCTGGTTTCAGCCACTTGCAAATTAGAAGGAAAATTGGCGGGTGCACGGTGCACTGTTCGGATGCTGGCTTCCCCTAAAGTAAATTGTGTGGCGAAGATATGGGCGTCTCCAGAATGCATGCACTCAGCTCTCCAGAATGTTCTCAGCTGCCTCCCGCCAATTATTTCACAGTCATTGTTTCATTGTGTGAATTGTTTGCCCTTTGATTGTTTATTTTTGATCAATTCAACATTACATATATAACCAGTAGGCCTAGTAAATGTAGCGTTAATCCCCGTCATTTGGTTACATACATTTCTGTTAATGCATGTATTACAGTAATTTACCGTTTTCATTCCCGGGGTGGAAACGTTATTTGCATAGTTCACAACCTGCTACACTTGTGAGAAACAAGTTTTGGTTTATTTCATAACCATCATTTAGGAGTTTTGTCCATTTTTTCATTGTCTTTTGTTCGGAGTGCTCCATGTGAGCAATGAGCCTGTGTGTGGTTTCTCTGTCCTGATATCGTTGAGGGGGAGCGCGCGACTGAGCACGCCAATCTGCTGAGTTGATACAATGTTGCACTTCACTAGTGATAGCTCAAGTCAAGACAGATAGAAAGGGAGGCAGACAGGTGGAGTAGAGATATGAATGTGATTGAAAGAACCTGAATTTTCATCAGGATATTTTCTACTGTTTATATTTGTGTCGGCTTTAGGCCTATGTATTTTACTAAGTTGATGATGGAAGGTATAGGCCTACTGCTGCATTGGCCTATAGTTCCATGACACGCAGATAGGTAGAAATGGTAGGATAAATTGTAAGCTTCCTCAAACTTGAAACTCATGAGCTGCCTACACTCTTAGAAAAAAGGGTTCCAAAGGGTAGAACCCTTTTGGGTTCCATGTAGAACCCTCTGTGGAAAGGGTAGATAGCACCTTTTTTCTAAGAGTGTATGGTCTTTATCATAACACCCATTAACAACATTTGTGCCTGCGCAAGCACACAGGAGGTGCCCTTGAAAATAAACGGCCCGCCTATAGAAATCAAATGCCCATCCAACTGATTAGTTCTGGCGCAGGCCCTGACTGTAATACTATATCCTAAAGAGATTATCCTCACCGTAAGGCACCGGCAGTTTGGAGCTTCATTTCAAATTGTGCATGGTGGATTATAACACGTCAAAAAAGATTGTTTGGAAAATATTGGGCCATTTTGCTCCACTGTAGATATTTGTAGTTCTATGATTTGCTGTGCTAGATTCCCTCCGTAGTAGTTTGCCCCACAGAAATGACTTTCTTCATATTCTTTACCTTTATTCAATCGTTCCTCCTCTCTCTGTCTCAGATGTCCATTTAGAGCCCCATAAGAAGCAGCTCCATGTGACGTTAGCCTACCACTTCCCCACCAATCACCTGACCTCCCTGGAAAAACTGGCCAAGGGAATCGAGGTGAAGCTAGGCTGTGATTGGCTGGCTGTCCTTTTCTCCCGAGACATTCGGTTTGCCAATCATGAGGTAATAATAACCACTTTGTTATCTGACGCAAACCCTGTACACCTTCATTTCACATCCAATACTACTATTGTACTTTCTACTAATCAACACCATGACATGGACCTTGTACCTTCTACAAGACAAGCTCATGAGACATTTATAATAAGTGATATTCTTCAACAATCAGTGGGAATATACAGTATAATTAATTTAGAAACGGCTGTAAATATCACAGAGTGACCCTTTACGAGCTTGCCCATTTAGACCTACAATAAGGGAAAAAAGTATTTGATCCCCTGCTGATTTTGTACGTTTGCCCACTGACAAAAAAATTATCAGTCTATAATTTTAATGGTAGGTTTATTTGAACAGTGAGAGACAGAATAACAACAAAAAAATCCAGAAAAACGCATGTCAAAAATGTTATAAATTGATTTGCATTTTAATGAGGGAAATAAGTATTTGACCCCCTCTCAATCAGAAAGATTTCTGGCTCCCAGGTGTCTTTTATACAGGTAACGAGCTGAGATTAGGAGCGCTCCTAATCTCAGTTTGTTACCTGTATAAAAGACACCTGTCCACAGAAGCAATCAATCAATCAGATTCCAAACTCTCCACCATGGCCAAGACCAAAGAGCTATCCAAGGATTTCAGGGACAAGATTGTAGACCTACACAAGGCTGGAATGGGCTACAAGACCATCGCCAAGCAGCTTGGTGAGAAGGTGACAACAGTTGGTGCGATTATTCGCAAATGGAAGAAACACAAAATAACTGTCAATCTCTCTCGGCCTGGGGCTCCATGCAAGATCTCACCTCGTGGAGCTGCAATGATCATGAGAACGGTGAGGAATCAGCCCAGAACTACACGGGAGGATATTGTCAATGATCTCAAGGCAGCTGGGACCATAGTCACCAAGAAAACAATTGGTAACTCACTATGCCGTGAAGGACTGAAATCCTGCAGCGCCCGCAAGGTCCCCCTGCTCAAGAAAGCAGATATACAGGGCCGTCTGAAGTTTGCCAATGAACATCTGAATGATTCAGAGGAGAACTGGGTGAAAGTGTATTTGGCATCAACTCAACTCGCCGTGTTTGGTGGAGGAGGAATGCTGCCTATGACCCCAAGAACACCATCCCCACCGTCAAACATGGAGGTGGAAACCTTATGCTTTGGGGGTGTTTTTCTACTAAGGGGACAGGACAACTTCACCACATCAAAGGGACGATGGACGGGGCCATGTACCGTCAAATCTTGGGTGAGAACCTCCTTCCCTCAGCCAGGCATTGAAAATGGGTAGTGGATGGGTATTCCAGCATGACAATGACCCAAAACACACGGCCAAGGCAACAAAGGAGTGGCTCAAGAAGGAGCACATTAAGGTCCTGGAGTGGCCTAGCCAGTGTCCAGACCTTAATCCCATAGAAAATCTGTGGAGGGAGCTGAAGGTTTGAGTTGCCAAACGTCAGCCTCGAAACCTTAATGACTTGGAGAAGATCTGCAAAGAGGAGTGGGACAAAATCCCTCCTGAGATGTGTGCAAATCTGGTGGCCAAATACAAGAAACGTCTGACCTCTGTGATTGCCAACAAGGGTTTTGCCACCAAGTACTAAGTAATGTTTTGCAGAGGGGTCAAATACTTATTTCCCTCATTAAAATGCAAATCAATGTATATAAAATTTTTGACATGCGTTTTTCTGGATTTTGTTGTTGTTATTCTGTCTCTCACTGTTCAAATAAACCTACCATTCAAATTATGGGTGGTCCTCTGTAGCTCAATTGGTAGAGCATGGCGCTTGTAACGCCAGGGTAGTGGGTTCGATCCCCGGGACCACCCATACGTAACAATGTATGCACACATGACTGTAAGTTGCTTTGGATAAAAGCGTCTGCTAAATGGCATATTATTATAGACTGATCATGTCTTTGTCAGTGGGCAAATGTACAAATACTTTTTTCCCTCACTGTATAGCCTTTCATTGTACTGTATTCTGGTGCTAGATAAGGCGTGGGTTTACTCAAGCTGTGTTCTTCCCTCCCTCTGTTGCAGACGCTGCGCGTTATGTATCCATACGCCCCTCAGAATGAGGACGAGCTGGAGCTGGTCCCGGGCGACTTTGTCTTCATGTCTCCCTTGGAGCAGAACAACACGAGCGAGGGCTGGGTTTACGGGTCCTCCCTGGCCACGGGGCTGTCCGGCCTATTGCCTGAGAACTACGTCAGCCGGGCAGACGAGTGTGACACCTGGGTCTTCCACAGGTGAGCTCTCAGAATGTGCTGTGCCAGTTTGAGAATGTATTACTTTCACCAGCTTCTTACTTACAGCCCTGGGTCCTGAACATGGGGGCTGGGGTCAATTCCATTTCAATTCAGTCAATCCAGAAGGAACTGTTTGCATCTTGAATTGACTTAATTGAAATGGAATTGACCCGCACCCAGGGCTAGAACACTGTAGAAGAGCGTGGAGAGTTCTGCTCAGTAGTCAGTAGTGATGAATGAGTAGGAGTGAGTATGTGTGTTAACTCTTGTCCTCTACCCTGTGCAGATCACACTCCTTCTTCAGTTGCTCTGCCCCCTCAGACAAAGGGAGAAGGGAAAGGGGCCTATTTGATGGGCTGCTGGATAGCCGTCGTCTCGACAACACAAGTCCTGGGGACACACCCACCTTGAGCCTCATCTGTCATCCCATGCAGGTACTGGTACTTTTTCCAAAGGACAGAAGGAAGTCTCTTTAACTGAACCATACATTTGTGATTTTTAGGGCCAGGAGCTTTTCCTGATCAGGATAACTAGTGCCTAGCGTTTAATCCTGATCAGGATAACTAGTGCCTAGCGTTTAATCCTGATCAGGATAACTAGTGCCTAGCGTTTAATCCTGATTATGAAAAATAGTTATTCTTCTTCTTGAAGAATGACTTCAATTCAATGTTATTATAGTAAACGAAAACGAATCATGAAAAAATAATTTAGTAAACTTAAATAAAATTATTAATAAACAGGTTTGAAAAACTAAAACAATACTGAAACTATTATCTTTGACACCAAAACGAACTAAAATAAACTAAAAACCATCATGAATTATGTTCAGTATTAGTTTGTAAAATATTTTCTATTGGGTTCAGGTCTGGAGACTGGCTAGGCCACTCCAGGACCTTGAGATGCTTCTTACGGAGCCACTCCTTAGTTGACCTGGCTGTGTGTTTCGGGTCGTTGTCATGCTGGAAGACCCAGCCATGACCCATCTTCAATGCTCTTACTGAGGGAAGGAGGTTAATGGCCAAGATCTCGCGATACATGGCCCCATCCATCCTCCCCTCAATACGGTGCAGTCGTCCTGTCCCCTTTGCAGAAAAGCATCCCCAAAGGATGATGTTTCCACCTCCATGCTTCACGGTTGAGATGGTGTTCTTAGGGTTGTATTCATCTTTCTTCTTCCTCCAAACACGGCGAGTGGAGTTTAGACCAAAAAGCTATATTTTTGTCTCATCAGACCACATGACCTTCTCCCATTCCTCCTCTGGATCATCCAGATGGTCATTGGCAAACTTCAGACGGGCCTGGACATGCGCTGACTTGAGCAGGGGGACCTTGCGTGCGCTGCAGGATTTTAGTCCATGACGGCGTAGTGTGTTACTAATGGTTTTCTTTGAGACTGTGGTCCCAGCTCTCTTCAGGTCATTGACCAGGTCCTGCCGTATAGTTCTGGGCTGATCCCTCACCTTCCTCATGATCATTGATGCCCCACGAGGTGAGATCTTGCATGGAGCCCCAGACCGAGGGTGATTGACCGTCATCTTGAACTTCTTCCATTTTCTAATAATTGCGCCAACAGTTATTGCCTTCGCACCAAGCTGCTTGCCTATTGTCCTGTAGCCCATCCCAGCCTTGTGCAGGTCTACAATTTTATCCCTGATGTCCTTACACAGCTCTCTGGTCTTGGCCATTGTGGAGAGGTTGGAGTCTGTTTGATTGAGTGTGTGGACAGGTGTCTTTTATACAGGTAACGAGTTCAAACAGGTGCAGTTAATACAGGTAATGAGTGGAGAACAGGAGGGCTTCTTAAAGAAAAACTAACAGGTCTGTGAGAGCCGGAATTCTTACTGGTTGGTAGGTGATCAAATACTTATGTCATGCAATAAAATGCAAATTAATTACTTAAAAATCATACAATGTGATTTTCTGGATTTTTGTTTTAGATTCCGTCTCTCACAGTTGAAGTGTACCTATGATAAAAAATTACAGACCTCTACATGCTTTGTAAGTAGGAAAACCTGCAAAATCAGCAGTGTATCAAATACTTGTTCTCCCCACTGTAGATGAGAGTTTCCCTCCACCACATTTTTTGCACCAGTTTTTGCGCTATTCCTTTTAAATACAAGTCACATTGAGATTGACTTTATAATTTAAACCTAACCTAACCTGACCCATCACCTTATGTATTACTGCCCCCCAGTTGCAAGAAATGACATCCCCAAAACACTATACAACACCAATGGCTCTTAGCCTCCCATGCATGCTTTATGTCCCTAACACTAAAACTGAAACTAAATAATATAAAAACAAAATATAAATATTTGTATACAACTACAGTATAACGAAATAAAAACGAACAGATCATTAAAACTAATAGAAATAAAAACAAAAAACTATAATAACCTTGCTTCAATAGCAAAGCTGTTTTTCTGGTGTACTGATCAATTCTCGAAAATGTTGGGAAATGTTATGGATTTGATGCCCCAATTCACTGCATTGTTCCTTAGGTGCTTCGGGTCAGCAGCAATCACTCTCGGCTGCCCAAGCGGACCCTGTTTGTCTGTCGGCACGGTGAACGAATGGATGTGGTGTTTGGGAAACACTGGCTTTCTCTGTGCTCTGATTCCAAAGGTGAGCAGAGTCAGACCAATGGTACTGGAGGTGCAATCCTAAAAGCAAGTGTGCTTTCAAAGAAGTCATAAGTTTTGAGTTGGATGAATCTGATGTTTTGATTGGATAGATAAAAGAGCAGTATTGTTTGTAGGTTTTGAAACCATAACAGCAGTGTGCTGGGGTGTGGTGTGCTATTCTTCAGGTAGATATGTGCGCACTAACCTGAACATGCCAGTCAGCCTGCCCATGTGGAGTGGAGGACACCGAGATTACGACATGGACACCCCCATCACTGTGTTTGGTTCCTCACAAGCACGAATAGTGGGTATGTGGTTGTCAACACCTAGTAGGAGGCTATGTTATCTGACCAATTCCATATCTCATGTTTCATTACAGCGTGATAACAATCTATTCCCCTGTCTGTCTGTCTGTCTGTGTTTTAGGTGAGGCGTTGATGGAGAGCAACACAGTGATCGACTTTGTGTACTGTTCGCCTTCTCTGCGCTGTGTCCAGACTGCTCAGAACATCCTCAAAGGTAACCAGCATGTAGCTACTTGCCACCACAAATCCTACTTAGGATAAAGAACCATATCCATAATCCTCTCTAACACCTGATGAAGACTTTAAAGGGCAACATGCAGTTGCAACATCCATTTTGGGGCTTATAAATGAATTATATGTGAACAATCTAATTTATAAATGCTTAATGAGCTTAGCAACTGTCGTAACCCCATCAGAACCAAAATATAGTTTTTTTACTCCAATGTTTGTAAACAAAGTAAATGTAAACATACACTGTATAGCCTACAAACATGGTTAAAACTATCATTTGATATCATGGATGGTCAGTTCTTGCATCCATAGCTCTGTCTATGAATTTGAAAATGGTTACATTTCTCCAGCCCCATCCCGAAACAGTGGCAGAGAGGACGCTTTGTTATTGTTTCAACTGTGGATTTCCCCTTTAGTGGTTGAAATGTTGTCAATAACCATAGTTGAGAGCATATAATGTGTTCTGGTACTGTCCAGGGAGGCCAAATGCTTGCTGGCTTCCGTTGCATTCAATGCTACGGGCGGCAACAATATCATACTCTTTTTGACCTGACAGCATCAGATAGATGGCCTACACATACAGAGACAGAAGGGCGCTGTTTCACTCGCTCTGTGCTTTCTCTGGTGAGATACATTCAGCCTCTTGCGAATTGAAGGAAAATTATGAAACACAGAGAGATTAAAGATTTTTCTTTATTTCTTAGTAAATGTTTATATACAGTACCAGTCAAAAGTTTGGACACACCTACTCATTCAAGGGTTTTTCTTTATTGTTACATCAAAACTATGAAATAACACATGGAATTATGTAGTAACCAAATAAAGTGTTAAACAAATCAAAATATATTTTATATTCTTCAAATAGCCACCCTTTGCCTTGATGACAGCTTTGCGCACTCTTGGCATTCTCTCAACCAGCTTCACCTGGAATGCTTTTACAACAGTCTTGAAGGAGTTCCCACATATGTTGAGCACTTGTTGGCAGATTTTTTTCCTTCACTCTGCGGTCCGACTCATCCCAAACAATCTCAATTGGGTTGAGGTTGGGGGATTGTGGAGGCCAGGTCATCTGATGCAGCACTCCATCACTCTCCTTCTTGGTCAAATAGCCCTTACACAGCCTGGAGGTGTGTTGGGTCATTGTTCTGTTGAAAAACAAATAATAGTCCCACTAAGCCCAAACCAGATGGGATGGCGTATCGCTGCAGAGTGCTATGGTAGCCATGCTGGTTAAGTGTGCCTTGAATTCTAAATAAATCACAGACAGTGTCACCAGCAAAGCACCCCCACACCATAACACCTCGTCCTCCATGCTTTACGGTGGGAACTATGCATGCGGAGATCATACGTTCACCCACACCGCGTCTCACAAAGACACGGCGGCTGGAACCAAAAATCTCAAATTTGGACTCCAGACCAAAGGACACATTTCCACCAGTCTAATGTCCATTGCTCGTGTTTCTTGGCCCAAGCAGGTCTCTTCTTATTATTGGTGTCCTTTAGTAGTGGTTTCTTTGCAGCAATTCGACCATGAAGGCCTGATTCACACTGTCCCCTCTGAACAGTTGATGTTGAGATGTGTCTGTGACTTGAACTCTGTGAAGCATTTATTTGGGCTGCAATTTCTGAGGCTGGTAACTCTAATGAACTTATCCTCTGCAGCAGAGGTAACTCTGGGTCTTCCATTCCTGTGGTGTTCCTCATGAGAGCCAGTTTCATCATAGCGCTTGATGGTTTTTGCGACTGCACTTGAAGAAACTTTCAAAGTTCTTGAAATGTTCCGTATTGACTGACCTTCATTTCTTAAAGTAATGATGGACTGTCGTTTCTCTTTGCTTATTTGAGCTGTTCTTGCCATAATATGGACTTGGTCTTTTACCAAATAGGGCTATCTTCTGTATACCCCCCCCTACCTTGTCACAACACAACTGATTGGCTCAAATGCATTAAGAAGGAAAGAAATTCCACAAATTAACTTTTATGAAAGCACACATGTTCATTGAAATGCATTCCAGGTGACTACCTCATGAAGCTGGTTAACAGAATGCCAAGAGTGTGCAAAGCTGTCATCAAGGCAAAGGGTGGCTATTTGAAGAATCTCAAATATAAAATATATTTTGATTTCTTTAACACTTTTTTGGGTTCCATATGTGTTATTTCATAGTTTTGATGTCTTCACTATTATTCTACAATGTAGAAAATAGTAAAAAAAATTAAGAAAAACCCTTGAATGAGTAGGTGTCCAAACCTTTGCCTGGTACTGTATATATATTTTTGGGGGCATCCATGAATACACGCCACTGCTGTCTCCATATTGCTTATCTCAATCCGATCGTTTCAATCCAATCCTTTCAGATCTACATAAGTGCCTATGGGATTAGGGGACTAGGGGACTAGGGGTTGTTTTTGGACAGGGCTGGTGTGCATAGCAGAGGCTGCAGTCTTCCTCTTTTGTTGAGGTGCCTCTCTGTCTCACCTTGCAGGTCTGCAGCAGGATGGCAAGCTGAAGATCAGAGTGGAGCCAGGCCTTTTCGAGTGGACCAAGTGGGTCTCTGGGAGCTCCCTTCCTGCCTGGATCCCTCCCACAGACTTGGCAGCATCCCACTTCACTGTTGACACAACATACAGGTGATACAGGCAAGACTGTTTCCTGGTTCACCTCCATACTGAACTCTTACTGGCCATTTACACTATACAAGCGGCACTTGCCTAGCCACACCCTCATGTGGGTGCTAACAAGCTAGCAAGCAAGCTAGGTAGTGCTACGTATCAACAGCCATTGTCAGCCAATCCAGGAAGCTATGGTGAGATTCGATTGGTCACTCGCGTCGCAATATCACGGAGGAGTTGAATAAACATTTTTTCACCCAACTTTAGTCCTGCCCTTTTCAGCTCCCACACCCATGCTCGTATCTCTCAACGGTCCCCCGCCCACTCCGCTTCTCTCACTTTCGTTCCATTGAAAGTGAATGGCTTCCGATGTTTCACCGCTTGATGCCGCTTCCAAGTGTAAACACAGAGTTAGCCCCATCCCTTTAGCCTTGGGCCTAGGCACAAAAACAAATAATATGGTCAACATTCCATTAAGCCTATAATTCCTTCTGACCGACGTACAGTACATGAAGTGGTAAAGGTAGGGGCTAAGGGTTGTTGCTGGATTGGGCCGGAGCCTTTTCAGCCATGCCTCTGTCTCACATGTTCTCACTGTTTATTCCCACAGACCTCTCATCCCGATAAGCAAACTTAGCGTGTCGGAGTCCTATGACACGTACATGAGCCGGAGCTACCAAGTGACCAAAGACATTCTGTCTGACTGCCAAAACATGGGTAATTATGATGCAGGGTTCAATCACTGCTGTGGCTTTGGATGGGATGTGTATTAAAAAAACAGTCCTGGGTTCAGTAAGTACTTATCTTTCAAATCCTTTAACTGTGCTTGATTGAGCTTGCCTGGCGCAATGGAATCAACGGAGTTGTCCCAAAAGTACACACGCTGCTCATTTCCCACTCCACTCTAGACAGGCTCAATCAAAGCTCAGGGTATTTGAAAGAAAACCAATACTTTTTGAACCCAGATGTGATACAGAAACATCTTGTGTGGGATGGACAATGGGATTAATCTGGTCCATGTTGTTCTACCCTTCCCTCATCTCCTCATCTCCCACTCTGTAGGAAACAACATACTGATTGTGGCCCACGCTTCCTCCCTGGAGGCCTGCACACGACAGCTCCAGGGCCGCAGCCCCCAGACTTCCAAGGACTTCATCCAAGTAGTCAGGAAGGTCAGCTGGAGTTTATTTTACTCGCTCAGTTTGATATTTTCTTTTGATCTCATTGTGTCTTCCCCCTCACTCTTACTTTCACTCTATGTGTGTTTCTGTCTGTCTCTCTCTCTTTCTCCCCCGCTGCCTTTCCACCCCACTCCTTAACTTTCATACTGCCTTTGTTGCGGCTGACGATAGCCTCTTTCCCTCCTGTAGATCCCCTACCTGGGTTTCTGTTCCTGCGAGGAGCAGGGCGACACAGGGGTCTGGCAGCTGGTGGACCCGCCCATCCTGCCCCTCACACACGGACCCAACCACAGCTTCAACTGGAGGGAGACCCTCCTCCAGGAATGACATCCGCTTCCCTGGAGAGCAGACTTGCTCATTCCCATCCCGAGGCTTTAGTTTCTGGTCAAACAGCACTGAGAGACTCTGCCAGAGTCAATGGGTGGTTGGATGTACTGTACTGTACACATTGTAATTTGACAGTATTGTTGACATTTCTAATTTGACAGTATTGTTGTTAGTGAGAGCAGAGAGAGAATAGAGTGAAGTTGGAGAGGGCAGGGCTAAGTCTCAGGGCCTGGTTGATTGTGGAGGCTAGCACTCAGCTGGCTTCAGCAAGCACATGGACCATTACATATTACACCACTGCGAGTCAACTGCGTGCCAGAAGGGAGTCACAAGGTTGAGAACATTGACCTAAAAAATCTAACAGAATAGTTTGTGTTTGGAAAAGCAACTGCATTCCTTGTCCCGCTTGCAGATTAACTGTTGACGAGGGCAAACGTTATCCTCAAAAGCCCTTGACTGTAGCCGCAAGTCATCTCTCAGATGTTTCCCAGTGTGGAATCTGTGTTTCTGTGTGTATAAAGTTGAACTCATTGGGGGGAAAAAAACATACTCAACTTAATCCATGCTCTCTTGAATACTGTAAGTACAACGACTTATTCATCCACTTAAAACTGATTGCAATGTGGTCAGTATGATGTATTTTATGACTTTATGGTCATGTTGTATGCTGGTTGTATAAAAACGTTTTGTTAACGTAAGTAACCAGAAAAATACGTATTTGCCTGGTTGTAATAGGTTATGTGACAAGATAACAACCAACATATGATGTATTTACTATGACATCTTGATCTCGTCATAAAAAATACATCTTTATGTGGTTGTAACCAAGACTAGTTGGAAATCTGGTTTTATGACTTCTTCACAACCAGAAAACCAGTTTACAACCAGAAAATGACATCATTAAGACAGCATGTGCCAAATGTTTTCCACTGGGTGGCTTGTCACCCGGTTTGTTTGAAACAGTCTCGATGGCACAAAATGCACTATTGACAATCACAGGTGAGTCTTGGTGAGGATGGTCTAATAACCAGTAGTTAGGAACGTATGTGTTTATTTTACATAATGTAAGGTCTTATGGCAGAATAGTTGTCGACCACTGCACTAGAAAATATATTTCAGTCTTCCAGTTGTGACCATTTATATTTTATTCAGATACTTAACAATTGAAGAGCTTTTCTTTCAAATATCATATAAAAAAAGACCTGTCCCATGGTAGGAAAATACATGTTTTTCTCAGGTGCAGATTTCATTGTGACTTTATACAGTATGTGCATTTCATTTGGTCATGAAAATTGTTGTGATTGCCTCTTAAGATTGAACCTGATTTCTCTTGATGTCTCAGTGGTGAAATCAGAGAGATGTTATCTGTTTAATGAGTCAACTTGAATGCTTTTGTTTAGCCTCATCTAAATCTATCTGATCTAATCTTTCTGCAAATCATTATTATTGAGGAGGCTCTAAAACAATGCTCTGGTGCTGTTCTTCCATTGATACATGCAAGTACAATACTTACAAGTGCAATACTTGCAAGTACAATTACAAATGTGTGATGAAGGTGTCAGTGAGGAGCAAAGCAGGCCTACATCAGAGGTTAGCCACATGCACTGTTGAGGAAACCCTGGAAACCTGACAACCGAGGAGGAAGCCGTCTGTGTCAAATTGTGTTAATTTATTTTCTCAAATATTATATTTCCAAATGTATATAAACGTTAATTTAAGTAATTTAAGTTTTTCATCAAAATGCTATTCTTTAGGAGGACTAGTGGGCTAAGATGTGCAAAAGATTGAAATGAAAACAAACTGATTGAAGGTGGAGATGATACAGTATTCATAGTGACTTGCCACTTCCCTGTATATTCAGATATGAGCATCTCTGAGGTGGGTTCTTTATTTTGTTTAAAAAATTGTCCCCAAAAAATGCCCCCTATATGATACTGACAGTATCACTGTTTCAGATATGTATAAGTTACATATCAAATAAAAAAATCAGGTCATTTCGTTTTGTATTGTTTTCTTTTTTTTTGTTAGATGGAGAACTCCTTCAACACCTTGTTCAATACGTAGTATATGGTTTAGCCACTAGGTGTAGGTGTAAGACCTTTGGAGTTGACTACATACAGTATCTATCTTAGGGAGAAAATGAGCCTGAAGCAGAGGCGTCATGGCCATAGGGGGCACAAGAGCACGTGCCCCCTCAGATTTGTCTTTTTTGTTTCAGATGTTCAATTAATTACTACATTTAATTTTTAAGTCCATGTTTTATCATAATTATTTATACAAAATATCTATCAGCTGTATTTTGCAGAGGGGGCACACTGACTGGACCAGGCAAAGAGTACCCCCACCCCCATATAATTGAACAGGTAAAGAGGTATGCTTAGATAACCTATGCATAAAAATAGACATATTTTTATATAGAATTAGGAATAATGATTATGGCTCTAGATTGCAGGGGAAATATGTTTCAGGTGTTTGAAAAATGCAATTACGTATTTCGTGCCCCCTATAAAATAATAGGTACATGATACCCCTGGCCTGAAATTATTTAAAAACAAAGAAATCCTTAGAAAATGTGGCAGTAAGTAGACATTATTTATGTTTCTTTTTGACCATTTTAATTGAAAACAATCACAGTAAGGTACTTATGTAATTGTTACCCAGATATTATATGATATTAGGATAAAAACAGCTGCATTGGACCTTTAAAGGGATACTTCAGGATTTTGGCCATTTTTATGTCTCTGTGTCCAGTATGAGGGAAGTTAGAGGGAGTTTCGTGAGCCAATGCTAACTAGGGAAAACGTAATGACTGGAAGTCTATGGCTATCTACTAGATACCCATAGACTTCCAGACATTGCGCTAACGTTAGCAATTGCGCTAGCGCTAGTTAGCAACTTCCTTCAAACTGCACGCAGAGACATAACAATGGTATCCACAAATTCATTTGACTCTGGGGAAGTTGATAAAGAGCCTCATTGCTAAAATCCTGAAGTATCCCTTTAAGTCAGGTTAAGCGACCCAAGCCCGGTTAAACCAGACGGAGCTCTGCTGTCAGTCTGATTTACCAGGCAAAAGTGACCCTATCACACCTGATGATGATGCATGCATGTTGTCAGCACCACTGATAACGTACCTTGCCACACACGTAATCATGCAGACAGGTAGGCTATAGAGCCCCACAGTGGAGGTGTCATAATACCCATAAAACCTAGCGGTCAAATAGGGAAATGGTTCCAATCGTTTTTCCACCATTCATTTTTTTTTTAGAAACACTTAAAATAAGGGCTGTGTTTCGTGTAGGCTTACCCTTGCGTGACGTTTTGATAACCATGTAAATCTCTCTCGGACAAGGTGACTTTTATCAATATATTCGGCTCTATTTAATCTCAGATTTGAAAATGCTAATTAGCATCAAAGTAGACATCATGGAAGACTACAAATCCCTGCAAGCTCCTGCAAGTCATCTCTATCTAACACCTTTGCCTTCAGGTATTGTGTCAATTTAAAACTTGCACAGACTTGTCAATTTAAAGAAATGTAGTCAATTTATTCATTACTAAATTTAGCTAACATTAGATCGTTAATCCATAGATTCTTACATTTGCCTCGATTCGGCAGTGTCATCCAGATCATCATGGCATTTGTAGTTCTTTATGATAGCCACATTAGCAGCTAATTAGTGTTTCATTTTGGGGGGGTAAAAACAGGCCTTGTCCTAGGAGATTTACACGGTTATCAAAATGTCACGGCAGGTTAAGCCTACACGAAATACAGCCCTTATTTTAAGTGTTTCTAAAATGCCCTATGGGAAAAATGAATGGTGGAAAAACGATCTGAACCATTTCCTCATACTGTGGTACTCGATAGTATGACTACAAATTTGACAACCAACCTCTGATTATGTGCATAAAACTTAAATGAGAGTCAATTGTGTATCAATCATCTTGTTTAATTTTTTGGGAAACAAACAGCATCCTTCCATCAATAGCATCTTTCTCACTTGTTGAGTCCTTATCTCTGTATAATTATACCCCAAAAAGAGACCCTAATGCAACATTTATTTACTCTGATGTTGGGTTATTGTTGCACAGACTTCCAATTATATTTGGTGGCCTGCTCACCCCTATTTACTCCAGTTTATAAATACACCTGGGGCTTTGGGGCTCTGGTTTCAGACACTGCCTCAGCACCGGCGGCAGCTTAAAAAGCCTGGCCAACGGGTTTATCCGAGCTGGGGATATTCGATCTCTGCCACTCTTGTCCTGATTTAACCTGAACTCTCCTTTAATGTGCCAGTCCTCCCCCATCCCCAACATAACTGTGATTTGGAGGCCCAATTAAATGTATTAGTTAGATTTTTTGCTATGATTGCCCTCTTCTAAAATATCTAAAGTAGACTGGGAAATGAGAGTGATGCATTGACCCACTTGGATGTAAACAGGACTTTTTATTACCTAGGGCTAAAATCTCCATTTAGCAAAGCATCATCTACAACTGCAGTGCAGAAAAACTCTGCAACCGTCTGAAAACAAACACGTTTCTGTTAAATCTCCCAGACAGACAGATGCATGAAGAAAATGATTTGCTGAATATACAACTTTGTTGAAAACCTCTATATAGAACTAGATCAACAACTAAATGTTTTATTGGGGAAATTGATATCAAGGTAGATATCAGTTAGATATACTTAGGTAGAGATTCAACATAAATATACAGTTCAATTAAGAATTTTGTTGAACAACTTGATATAAAGACATTTCGTGTTTTGTGTCCTGCCATTCAGTCTGAATCATCTTCCTGTCAAAACAAGAGTGATGTTTTATCTTTTACATAATCTCTCAAAGTCTTTCAGAGTTGAATGTATTCCCCATCTACAGTAGTATAGAGATCAGGGGTGTCTGGGTCGCATGTTCCCCTCCTTTGTTTCCCCCCATATTGAAGACCAGCACCTTTGTGTGTATCTATCAATTATTTTGGGTTTGCAGTGACTTTTTATTAGAAATTGTGTCTTTTTAGTTTAGCAAGATTTGCTGTGCTTCCCTATTTGTTTCCCGTACTTGATTTATTGTAGACTCCTGCCCCTTGGCTGGTCACCTTGGAGACAGGAGTTGGTCAAGGTCTGCCACAACTGTGCCTGTTGACTAACAAGCTACCATAGCTCCTTAAAATGGAGCTTTCAGTCCACTCTGGGCCTGCTGCTAGAGGGAGAAGTCACCACCAACACAAACACCACCACCACCTTCCCCCAGCTTCCGCCTACCTGGAGCCAGAGGGAGACCTGAGTTGACAATGCTGTCTAGCATGCAGATAAGGGACAGTCAACCCCTAAACCTGTGTGAGTGTGGTATGTCTGTCTCACATCATTGTCAGTGTCCAGCCTCTGTTGCAGATTGGAGTTTTCCTTATTCTATCTTGTTCTGAGGGCAGCTCTGTCTTGAGGGCAGAAATAAATGTGATTAGTTAATTTTAGGAAATACATGTGATTGGTTCAGTTTAGGGTTAGGGGTTGAAGTAAAGTTAGAAAACTGCACTATGTTGAATAAGGAAAACTCCACTCAACGCCTCTGTAGTGAACTCCTTGACAAGTTGTTTTCTGTGGGTAGCTGCTGGCTTTGGCATCAGTGTACAACCAATTACATGGAACCACCAGGGCTACTGCACACTCCAATCTCCACAAACTCAGCCTGAAAGAGTAGGCCTGCGCTGCCTCTGAAGAACTACGTTTTTGCATGTTTCTAGTAATGCCAATGTTTACATGGGCAGATGTCAACTTTGAAGAAACTCCTATCCCCACTGGATTGGACTGTGTTGGTATTATTCCCGAAGCTCTTCTATTGATCGTGTTTATCCTCGGTGATTGCTATATTCCAGTCTCTCATGAGTCTGATGTTGCTTAATTTGTTTAGCCTTTTGTTTTATGCCAAGCTCTAAACCACACCAATTCCTCCCGGATGTCTGAGGGACCCAAATAAATGCATCACCGTTTATCTTCTCTTATTGCCTGAAACCTAATTTGTATTGGACAAGATAGAGGATGTGTGTTATTTTTAGGGAACTTCCACAAGAATACACTATGCCCATTTATTGACCAATATAAAAAAAGAAAATGTTGGAAGTTGTTTATCACATTGGTCTACACCCCAAATAATGGTTTTGAAAAGTTGCGACTGAGCTCGAATCATGGCAACGGTATTCATTTGGGAAATCAGGCCTGTACCAAGTTTCATGCTTTTATGAAATAATGTATATATTTTTTTCACATATCACCTGGACTATGTATACATAATGGTACTATCATGTTTTATGTGTGAATGCAAATGTAGTAGGTAGCTTTGTGTAGATTATCCATCATGTCACACACTTTATAATGACAGGCGCCAAAGGTCATAGTCGTTTTTATATCTAATCTGCCATGACCTGGTAGTTGTCCTTGCACTGTGTTTATCTTGCCTTTCCTCACAATATGTGTTGAAGATACCACATTATTTGGATAATGTAGTAAATAGGTTTTTGGTGGCTACAGACCTTTTCTAATTCCTGTGCATACAACACGATCAATTAAATGAAGCATCCGCAGCTGAAGTTCTTAGGGTTTTTGTACAGATATCTTTCAGGCAGGTATTGATTATCAGAAAATAAATAATAGATCCTCATTAAATAATGAAGTAGTTGCAGTTGATTAGAACGTTTTTATTAAGCCCTTACTCCATATGCAAGCAACCTTTTTCCATAGGCCTACCCACAGTCTCATTCACTGTTTGCTGCCTTAAATTTCCACTTGATTTATGGAGTGATAGGCCACCGATGAGGCTGATAAAAGCACAGGCGGTTTCATTCCTCTAAAAAAACAAGTCATTATCGGAGAGCAGTGAATCTTTGCAATCTAATAGTGCTCTCGGTGTTCTTCTCAAGCTTTTAAACTAATTCGTGATTGATCGCTAATTATCGGTGACTGATCCTCTCGAGACAGCTGTACCTCCCACCTCAAAC